TATGTGACACTGGAATCCCCACTCGAATTGTAGGAAAGATTGAAAAAAAGATACAATTATATGATATTGGCTTTGTTGCCATAGGCAAGAACTGAATGGCAAAGACTTCAAATTAGGACATTAAAACAATCTAAGAGTACATTTATGCTATATTTAAAATAACATCAGAACTGCGCCATTGTGGCAAAAATATGTCTAAAACTGATATGATGGAGAAAACTTTTTCCACTTTTCATGCCTCTAACATGCTTTTGCAACAATAGTATCGCAAAAAGGCTTTCAGAAATACTCCGAGCTGATCACCTATCCTTTTCTGGCCGAAAAAATAATGAATTTTTTTTTGAAAAATCACGAATCTTGTCCGACTGGTGCAAATCCATTTTCAGAGGCAAATACAATATAAAAGAAAAATCCGATGCATGGTTATGAAAATGTCAGAAATCAAAGAATTGATCATGAGCAAATTCAAAATCGTGGACGGGGCAAGACTAACTCATACAGTCACAACAATTATCAGAACATGCCCGATATATGCCAAATCAGTGCTACAATGATATAAGGCTGTATAGAACTTAACAGAGGTTTAACATTGGGAGAAACAAAGACAATGATGAGGAATGCACTTAGTGTGGAATCATGGGTCATTGGCCCATATTTTTCGTACAGCTAGTCACTTGGCTCAACTGTATCAGATCTAAAAACAATGACAGGGAAAAGTTTCTGCCTAAAAATCATGCTACCCACAAAGACACATTCGATAATGTTTTTAATAAAAATGTCACACATTTGGATGCTGATGATCTGTTTGATGTAGTTGATTATGTTAAATGATGAAATGTTGTCGTATCTCTTTTCTTATTTTTCTGCCCCCTTTTGTGATACACCCTATAATATAATTCTATTTTGATTATATTATTAATACATATTTTTTTTATTATATTTACCTTATTGTAAAGATATGAATGCCAAATATTTCGGAGCCGAGGACAATATATGTCTTATCGACAATGTTACAACTCACAATATTTTGAAATATAGAAATTATTTCTCCCATTTGAATAGGAGAATTAACACTAATGATACTATCAGTGGTGCATAAAAAATGATTAAATGCTCACGAAAAAAAAAAGAGACAGAATGGCAGATTAAAATGTCTTGTTCTTGAGCAAAGCTCAAAGTAACTGAGCTTCGTTGATATTAAAAAAAAAAATAGATATTATATTGAAACATTGAATGAGACAGAAAATGAGTATATTCTAATTACTCAAATTTTGGAAAGGCCAAAAATTGTCAAAGGAAAATTGTCATCATTTTCTTACAACTTGTATTACTCAAAATCCAATTCCGTTGAAACATATTACCTAGTAGATCAAATTACTACTAGTAAATTTATAACATGGCATGATCGAGTTGGGCATTTTGGCAATGTAATGCTGACGCAAATTGTTGAAAATTTAAATGACCACTCATTGAAAAAGAAAAATATATTGAGTCTGAATGATGTGTGCTTCCTGTTCCCAAGGGAAGTTAATAATAAGACCATCTCTAACAAAAATTGGAATTGTATCCCTAACTTTATTGGAAAGAATTTAGGATGATATTTGTGGATCTATAGATCCACCTTGTGGACCCATCAAGTACTTTATGGTACTAATTGACACATAAACGTGATGGTCACACATATGTTTGCTATCTACTCGCAATTTAGGTTTTGCTAGACTACTTGCACAAATAATTAAATTACAAGCACAATTTCCAGATCACTTGATAAAGAAAAATAAGTTTAGATAATGTTGGAGAGTATTTATCACATATATTTGATGATTACTGCATGTCAATTGAAATTGTTGTGGAACATCATGTTCCCCATGTACATACACAAAATGTCTTGGCTGACTCTCTTATCAAAAGATTGCAATTAATTGCTACACCATTATTAAGAAGCTCTAAACTTCTCTTATCAGCTTGGGGACATACTATATGCATGAGATAGCCCTCGTGAAAATAAGACCGTCAAGTTATCGTTGTTATTCCCCCGTACAATTGGTATCTGGAAAAGTACCAAATATATCTCATCTACGAATTTTCGGGTGTGTTGTTTATGTACCAATTGCATCACCCCAACGCACTAAAACGGGACTTCAAAGAAAAGTTGGGTATATATGTCGGGTATGAATCACCCTCAATTGTAAAATATCTTGAACCAACAATAGGTGAGTTATTTACTGCAAGGTTTACAGACTGTCATTTTGATGAATCTCATCTAACGACATTAGGGAGAGAGATAGTAATCATTTGAAAAAAAAGGAAAATTTTGTAGAAAATACTACTTGACTTTTATCATCGTACGAAACATAGTGAAGTTGAAGTTCAAGAAATTTGTGCATTTGTAGAAAATTGCAAATTAATTGTCTGATGCTTTCAATGATGTTGCTAGAGTTACGAAATCATATATTTTAGCATAAAATTCACCGACTAAAATAAATATCCCATAAGGGAAAGTCCCAAGTGCTAAAGAACATATTGTCCACGTAAAATATGGCAGACCGTTGAATTTCAAAGATAAAAACCACGAAAGAAGAAAATTGTAGGTAGTGGTGAAGAGATCAATAATGATCAGATACCTGAAAAATGTTAGTACAACCCTTGAAGAGGTTGATACTAAAAATTTTGATGAAAAAGAGAATGGAATCATTGAAATTTTAGTTAACTATACCACTAGTGGAAAATATTGGAATCAAAAGAAATAATGTGTTGATATTATATTGTGTATTCTGTAGCACTTGATATAATGAAAGAAGATAAGGATTATGAACCAAAATCAGTTGATGAATGTCGGAAAAAAGATGATTGGCTAAAATAGAAATATGCAATTCAGTTTGAATTGGACTTAATGAATAAATGGCAAATATTCGGCCCCATAGTCCAAACACTTGGAAATGTGAAAGTTGTTGGCAATAGATGGGTGTTTGTGAGAAATAAAAATAAAAGTAATGATACCACAAGATATAAAGAAAGACTTGTTGTCCAGGATTTTTCCGAAAGACCAGGCGTTGATTTTGAAGAAACATATTCGCCGGTCATCAATGGAATAACATTCAGGTACTTAGTGAGTCTAGCTATACAATAATTTTGATATGCGATTAATGGATGTGGTTACTCTTTATCTTTACGACTCCTTAGAAAATGATGTCTATATAAAAAATTCCGAAAGATTTTAATATAACATGTTTGAATCATCCAAATAAAAAGAAGAAGAATCATATTCATTCAAATTGTAAAATTCTTTGTACGGGCTCAAACAATCAGACCGAATGTGATACAATTGCCTCAGAGAAAGCCTAACAAAAGAATGTTACATAAATGACTCTATTTGTCCATGTAGTCTCATAAGGAAAAATGGGTTAGAATTTGTAATCATCGATTTATATGTCGATGATATCAATTTGATTAAAACTTCTGAGAAAATCCAAAAAATTGTTGATTATCTGAAAAAAGAATTTGAGATCAAAGATTTTGAAAAACTAAATTGTCTTGGTCTAAAAATTGAGCACTTATAAAGTAGAATGTTTATTCACCAATCAAATTATACCGAAAGCGTACTGAAACAATTTCTGATAGATAAATCACAACATATAAGTACTTCAATGACATCATAGCACTCAATCCAATAAAAGATCAATTTAAACCAAAAGAGGAAAATGAGGAAATACTTGGTCCTAAAGTGTCATATTTGAGTGCTACAGGCACATTGATGTATCTTGCCAACAACATCAGACCCGACATATCATTTGCTGTAAATTTATTGACAAGATGTAACTCATCGCCTACTCGACGATATTGGAATGAGATTAAGCACAATTTCTGCTATCTCCCAAGAACAAATAATCTCGGGTTATTTTACTCGAAATATTCTCGACATGAATTGATTGTTTTGCCGATACAAAATATTTATTTGATCCTCATAAAGCCAAGTCACAAATTGGCTATATATTTACTTTGTGGCGAAACTGTGATCTCTTGGAAATTGATGAAGCAAACTTAATTGTCACTTTTTCATATCATGCTAAAATATTGACAATACATAAAGCTAGTCAAGAATGTGTTTGGTTGAGATAAATGACTTTAGCATATTTTAAAAAATTGCGGGTTAATATCTGGAGATAAAATTCCTTCGACTACACTGTATGAAGATAATACTGCTTATATATAGCTCAATTAAAAGAGGATTACATTAAACGTTGTATGACAAAAACATATTTCACCAAAAAAAAATTTCACTCATGATCTTCAAATGACTGGTGAAATTGATGTGCAAGAAATTCGATAAGATAATAGTTTAGTGGATTTATTAACCAAGACATTACCGACGGAAACATTTGAAACATTGGTAAATAAAATTGGAATGCATTACTTAAGAGATCTCAAATAATGCTCAAAACAAGAGAAGCAAATAAACACAACAATATTGGACTTTTTTTTCTTCATTATAATATTTTCACACAGTTATTTTTCTAGTAATATTTTAACGAGACATATTTTTTGTATGAATGCATCCAAAGAGAATGTTAGAACTAGTGTACAACAATGTACACGCTACTATCTTTATTTTATGTGGATGCATTTACATCCATTTTTTCCTCCTATACTCATATATATATATATATATATATATGTATCCTATTTAATGAATGAAATTATCTAGAGTTTTATCCTATCTACTCTCTTTCTCTTGTCTCATAATTCCCTTTCCATCATCGTATTTACATACATGCATTCTATATATATATATATATATATACACATATATACACTCATATATCTAATATATATCATATACGGCTCATACGTATCTTATACATAATATACATATATATTATTACACACAATCCGCCACACATACAACATATATATTATATTGTTATATATAATTAAAATAGTAGTTAGCGGTAAAAATAATTTCTATTTCTATGGTCTAATCTTATAATAATATCATAAGGTATATAATTATTTTCTTTAGTTTTCTTAAAATATATATATGTTCCATACAAATTTACCCACAAATAGTACTTAGAACACAATTAAAGCATCAGGTCTTGTTATTGCACACTACGATATATATGGATTTATCATATCATATTATGTTGGCCTCTTAGTAGAACCAAGTAGGGTGCGATTTTATCATCCGGGTTTCGCCATAAGCCTCGTCATTGTCGAGTTGTTTGTTGTGCCTGACTGCTGCACAAGCAACGACATAGAGCACTACGAGGATGATCAATATGACAATGTTGATAACCGAGACCTTCCTCCAGCTTTTCTTCAGACTCGCCAAAACTCCGGCTTTGCATGAGTCGCATCCATAGCACAGTTGCCATTGATCGTTGCTCCATCGCAAGCAGTCAGCGTCGCCCCCGGTCTGATCCCCTTCGGAAACCCAAAATGTTGCATTCATGTAAGTGTAGCCACATGAGGTGGGAGGCTTGCAACATCCGGACTGCAGATAATTAAGAAAGATGTAAATATTTAATTTATTTTGTCTATAAGATTTTGTTGGTATACTACTATATAATATGTATTAATGATGTATGTCTCCATTAATTTAAGTTTGAAGATAAAATAATTTCATTTAACATATATGAGTGATGCACACAAAACTTCAATTTGTTTAAAGCAAAAATCAAGAACCCTTTAATTATATAAACACACAAGCAAATAAATGTGTATAGATAGATATCTACAATATGTCTTGTATAACACATCTTGATATGTTTTTTAGGGCATACGATAATATCACACTTAACATAATCCTCATAGTTCTTTCGATCCATCATTTCCTACTATGTTAGCGGATAGATCTTCTGGATGTGTAAGTTGTACGTGTAAAGTACCTTACAATAAATAGATAAATTACTTCTATTTTTCTTCTATTACTTGTAAAATTAAGGAAATGATATTCAACTCTCAATTTACCAAACAATAAGTAAATAAATCATATCAAGTTATCAACATCCAATTTTCTACATTTATCATTGCACAATTTATTATTTTACTCAAAAAAAAAAAAAACATCGAACGAACAAACACCGTTCTCGATAAGACTGTGCTTGTACATTTCATCTAGCATGCGGAGTAAATAGAATTATGTTGAGAAAAAAAATTATATTAAATTGTTAACTTTATATGAGGGAATAAAGTTTATTTATGTATATTGTCTTAATATGTGTATATATATTCTTTTGATAACATTAACGGCGAATTGTGTGAAAAAAAAAAAAAAATACAAAGTGAATAAACCTACACAAGATTATCTACAATAAGAGATAAAAAACAAGAGAACTGAGAATAAAGCCACAAGGGAAAAAGAGAACATAAAAGAGAGAGATTCCGAGCATGCTGATAGAGGTATCCTATCTATCTACCTTTTGTCTTGCAACAAATTGGAGAAAAATACAAAGGGAAAAAAAAGAGTAAAAGCGTGAGTATGGTATAACAAACAAAGAGAGTATCACCACGGGCCAGCCACCAAAATGGAAAGCACATTGTGGATATGCACTGGGAACTCTCTTTCTTTTATCTCAATTATTTATATCCATAGTTAAGAATATTAATTAAAGACAGGATAATGAAATTTGGGTGTTTGTCAACTGCTCCTTAATTCTACTAAAATACACATATTTAAAAAAATATTTTACTTAATTATCATTTATTTTTTTATTATTATTTTAAAAAAAAAAAAAACAACTTCATTGTTCATTCACAAAAAATAAGAATTTTTTTTTTTTTTTTTACTTAGAATATCAAATTCAATACATTTATTCTATTTAAAATAAAAATATCCTAGAACACACATTATCCAAGATGGATGAAAAGTTTGGCGTATATTAAGGCTATTCTAAACGTATCAAGATTAATGGCTTTGTGGTTTAGTGTTCTCATTATGAGCTGTATCTCCGGACCTCATATTTTTAGTTTTTTTTAATTTTTTTTTATAACGTGGGAATACACCGCCGCTATTAAAAAAATGCACATTGGATAAACTTTCGGCCGAATTTAATACCCTGCAAACTAGCCTCATATTTTTTTAATTATATATGGGATGTGTCTTACTAAATGATACTACCTCAATCCAAAAAATATATGATAGTTTGAGGTAGACACGTATTTTAATAAATATATTATTATATTGGTTTATTGAGATATAAGTAGCAATATTGTGAGACTTATATGAGTTATAGTTAATGGGATAAAAGAAAACTTTTGATGAATTGAACGTATAAGTAGTTGTTGTAATATATTTGTAAATAAATGTAATATTGGAGGATATAGATTGAAAATTGTGTAATAATTTTTTATAAATAGGATTGTGCATAATTTTTTTGACAAAAATCGAAAACATGTTCAAGATTTGATAAGACATGGGGTGTATATGATTTTTTGATAGAATAGCATGCTCATTGGAACAAATTGATCAAGATTCACTACAAGAAATTATCAACTTTGTAATAAGGTTTTTTCGTTCCTAAATTCACTTTTTCCGTTACTAATGATATTAGAGAGGGAATTAGAGATGGAATTACGTTAGCTACCAATTTTAGGAACGGAATTCTGTTACAAATATACTTTTTTTTTTGTAGTAATTACGCAGTAACAAAACCCAAACCTCAAAGAAAGAACTTAAAACATATGAAAAAACAATTTTTAAGAAACAATTCTAAAACTCTCACTACAAAAAAATAGTATATTTGTAACAGAATTTCGTTTCTAAAGTTCACGTAGCTAACGTAATATCATATCTAATTCCGTCTCTAATATCATTAGTAAAGGGAAAAAGTGAATTTAGGAACAAAAAAATCTCGTTACAAAATTGATAATTTCTTGTAGTGACTATGCTGTGACGGATTAGGGTTGATGATCGAATAACAAACAAAAAATGTAAAGAAAACACAGATTTACGTGATTTACCAACAACGTGTTGGCTACATCCACGGGCAGAAATATAAACTAGATTTATTAAGAACGGTTAGATTACGCATTACAGATTTGAGCCGCTTGGGCGCATGGCAGCCTGTTAGAATGAGAATACATGCCTATTTGTATCATAAGTTTATGTCAGTAATATTCAAATCATATCCTTAAACCTAATATATAATATCTAGTATCCAAATCATATATCTAAATATAGAATATAATATCTAATATCTAAATCATATCCCTAAATTCAAGGCATATCAACAAATTTCCATCTTAACTTGAATCTTACTTCCAGATGTATCATTACAATGTCAGATGAACAAATGGCAAACTAGCTTCAAGACATATCAACAAATCTCTAATATCCAAACCATATCCCTAGATTCAAGGCATATTAACAAATCTCCATCTTGACTTAAATCTCACTTCCAGATGCACCATTATTATACCAAATGAACATGTGGAAAACTAGCTTCAAGACATATCAACAAATTTCCACATTGAATTGAATCTCACTTCCTCATGCATTATTACAATGTCAGATTAATAAGTGACAAACTAGGTTCAAGGGATATCAACAAATCTCCACCTTGATTTAAATCTCACTTCTAGATGCATCATTATAATGTCAGATGAACAATGAACATACTGCTCCATTCTGCCTACCAGCTTGTGACATTTAGCAAGTCAAAACAATGTCGAAACGTGCTATGAGGGACCAATTTGGTGAACATATCAGCAGTTCATTCCTGCATTCGTAGTCTGAACAGACTTGCTTCAAAGACAACTTATTGGTTAGAGATTTCGTCACATACAAACTCTTCAACTTCATCCAGAGGCCAACAACAGTTTTCTGATCGGAACTTCGATGATTACATCATCAGATAGACGCAGCATGATTGTCGCGTGGGCCTTCTCCTCTACGGTATCCCACTCTTCATCATCTGCGTTTGCACCTCTCAAATTTTCAAATACCGGCGCCCACAAACCCTACTTCTTCGGCAAATATTGCATCTTGATATGCCATAAGTCAAAACTATTTCTTCCGATAAATTTGTTAACCTTTACATTGAAAGCAGACATTGTTGATCGACTCACGGAACCCTAGCAGAACGGAAATAAACAAAACCCTGATCGAAAACGACCGAGCTCTGGTACCAGTTTACTGTGACGCGTTAAGGTTAATGATCGAATAACAAACAGAAAACGTAAAGAAGACACAGATTTACGTGGTTCACCGACAACGTATTGGCTACATCCACGGGTAGAAATGAAAACAAATTTATTGAGGACTGCTAGGTTTACAGATTACAGATTTGAGTGGTTTGGCCGCATGGCAGCCTGTTAGAATGGAATACATGCCTATTTATAGCATAAGCCTATGCCAATAATATCCAGATCATATATTTAAATTTAGAATATAATATCTAATATCTAAATTATATCTCTAAATTCAAGGCATATTAATACTTTAGATAACAAATTAAATATAACAACTAACAAATTTGAATAGTGTTATATATATTGTATTCCTATTTTATATTATATTTTTTAATTTTTTTTTAAATACACATTATATTATTTATAAAATAAATAAAATAAAATAATATGGATGCGAGTAGCACCTGAATAGGGGTCAGTTTCTTGAGATAAAAGAGCTGAGCAGAGTCGGCTGCCCCGGTGGCGGTCCTCCCTAGCTTCCGGCAGATGCGAGAGTCCCTGATGCAGGCAGCAATCTTCCCCCAGTAGTTGGGGCTGGCGACGCGGTCAGCGAGCCAGGTGCCGGAGTAGTCTTGGAGCGAGTAATCAAGGTATACCCGGTTGATGACAGGGCGGGCGGAGCCGCGCTGGGTGACGGAGTAGGCGAAGATGACGAAGATTAAGAGGGAGGCAATGATGAAGAACATGGCCCAGAGGTAAAGGTACATGAGGAAGGTGTTGCGGTAGCATGCTCCCGCGAAGCCCGCCAGGGAGACGGCCATGATGGCCCCGCCAATCAGGAGGAGGGGCCACTGGAGGAACTTCATGCAGTCGGTGTTGCTGGCGCGGATGCTCAGCCATATGCCGCCGCCCAGCACCGGAATCGACACCAAGAATGTAAGCAAGTTGAGGAACCCTATCACCTGGTTGCTCGCTCCCATTCTATCTATGTCTATATCTATATCTAGCTTCTTCTGTTCGATGCTCGCTCACGATCAACAACTATATATTTTGCTTCTACTTCAAAATCCTAGGCCTTACACACGTCTATAAGTATAAGATATATATATCTATATATATGTAAAATATTATATTTAACTAGAATCGTTTGCTTTTATTATAAGAATCTATTTGCATCGGCGAAACTACAAGGCCCCCTCCCCTTCCCCCACCCCACCCCACTCCACCCTATCCTACCTTTAAATTTTTTTATTATAATCTATTTGTTTTTTATATTATATTTTATCAAAAAATAATTAAAGAAATATTAACATTTTAGTATACAAAACTTTCTATTTATTTTTTATATTATTATAAAAAATACTGAAATTTTAGTATGACATAATAAAATACTCCCTCCGTCCCAACAGATTTGTCTTGTTTTTCCATTTTTGTCCATCTCAAAACAATTGTCTTGTTTCCTTATTTAATAGCCGTGGTCCCACTTTATAACAAAATTATTCATACTTTTCCATACTACCCCTAATTATTACTTTAACATACTCTTTAAAATCCTTCAATTTAGTCATTTACATTCTACTTTATACCAATTTTCAATTAAATACTATTATTCCTTAATTCCCGTGCCAACTCTCAATAAGACACTTCTTTTGGGACGGAGGGAGTATAAAAAATTTTAGTATGGTAACAATATATAATTTGATATTTTCAGTATGAACTGAAATCATCTCTGTATTATAGTATTTGATACATCAAAATATATTTGATACCAAAATTATTATTTTAAATTTTAGTATTTTGGTATGAAATAATATAGATTGATTGTACCAAAATTTCGGTATAAAATCAATTCATATATTTGTCATACCGATTGTTCGGTATATTGAATTTTCAATTAGATATCGATACATTTTTTTTAAAAAAATTATCCCACCTTTGCTTGAATCTAAGGCTAAAATACTCCAATACAAGCAATTAAATTAAAAGTTAAAAATCAAGTGCACCGACTTACTATATAAATAAATAAAATTCGAGTCAAAACTGTATGCAGGAAATCAATTCAAAATGCCTTAATTCTTAAAACATTAGTAGTGAGTTTAAAAGCATCCTAATAGATATGATAATTCTATTTACTTCCAATGAATCATGCGACGTGGATGCATAAGCATAACGGTAGCACCATCTTGTAGAAAGAAGATCAACACGATGTTGAGTAAGCACAATTTATTTATATGATACATGCCAAGAATCACATGTGTATACCACAAAATCATTTGTACGAGATAATTCATATAAAATTGCACATAACACATAATTACAACTTACACACACAAGTATTTAGTCTCTCTCTTACAACTCCCTTTTATTCTCAAATAATTGTGATGAACACATCACGAAAAAGACTTCGCTATGTGTTAATTAGGGTTGGCTCAACCCGATTTACCAACCATATTACTTCTCTTGATACGTCAGACAAATACACATAGCAAATATAGGGTTACAACGATCAAGGAACTCTATGAATGATACATAAGGTTTTGAGGCCCAAAGTACACGTATGACAACTTATTATTACTTTGCGAGGGATTCAGAGTGGCCAAAGCCTCTAGTTTCATACATAGCATACCAAGTGGGGATTGTATGCGATCTATCCCTTCATCACGGATGGTCTAAAGACCATTCCATCGTGAATGACGTGCACCTTGGAATCACCGAAAATAGAACACGTCATCTAGATGTCACGACCTAGTCTATTCGGGATCTAGTTCGATGTTAGCTAGTTATCTTAAAATACCGGTATACGTCCACGTGTTTGCAAGGCACAGAGGTGAAAGGTTATGTCTTATTATCTCAAAAAACCAATGAGTAGTTCCTCTTAATAATTTGACCTAATACTCAACATACAAATTTATTAGGCAAATCATAATCAAACGAATTTCAACTCGAAATATCCCATGTACAAATATTTATCCAACTAATTAATAAAGACATTGGTCAAGAATCATGCTTTACAACATAAGCAAAAACTAAATACAATTCTTCAAGTTTGCTCATAAAATATTTTTCAGCCAAAAATATTTTTATTTAACAACTAAAGTGTTGGGACTCCCGTTTGCGGATATATGAATAATGACTTAGTTTCCTTAATAACAGTTCGAGCTTTTAGGTGAGACGGTCATTAGCATCCGATATGGTATCAGAGCCTAGATTAGGTCTCGAGTTTGAGTCCCACCGTCGCATACCTCCATTTAGTTTCCCTAACAGTTCGAGACGGTCATTCAATAAATATTTTTTAACTCAAAAAATTATAATATTTAAAAATAGTCTCAAAACCTTTCTCCAGAAATCATTGACTAACTTAGGCCAAAATTAGAATTTCTAACTCATTTCACAAATCCTCTTTTTTTCAACTTAGAACATCAAAATAATCTCCACATAAAGCATAAAGAACATTTTAATCAATTTTCTAAAAGGAAATTAGCAAAATTTAATACTTTAAAAACAAACTCATTTAAAAAAATTGAAATATATCATATAAAACCAACAAATAAAACTAAAATATATATCATATTACTTAACTAAGAATCATCTTATTTACCTTAGAAGAAGATATGAAGAGAAGAAACTTTGGAAGAGAAACTTCCAATAGAGAGAAGAGGAAGAACTAGGCGGCAGCTAGAGTTGGGAGAGAAGAAATCACGCTGGAAACTGTCTCTGCCTCTGCCTATTCTCTATTTTTAATTAAAAAAAAAAATAGGCATGAGTGTATTTTCTTTATTTTATTCCTCTTGGCCCCAAAATGGCCGAACACTCAATTTAGCATAAATTCTAATCTAATTTATTTATTTTTTAGACCAAAGTCCAAAATAAGTTTAGCGCATAAGTAACTTGTCCGACTCCGGTAAATTCCGACGAACTTTCAAAATTTATTTTATGGGATATTACATGGGTGCTCCACAATGCTGATTTAACGAAATCAGCATACTAATTTTAAGGAATTAGTATTTTCGCACAAGACACAATATTTATTGTATTATATAGAAATATGTACTTCTTTAGTTATATATTATGCTATGCAATATGATTTGTTTACCGTGTTGAAATCACAATATATTGTTCTATATAAAATTATATAGAACGGGTTTCGTAAAGAGCTTAATTATTAAAGAATTTTTAACTTATTAAATAGTTTTTAACTGTTTCACAAGTAAAAAAATTAATAAGACTGTTTGGTACATTAGTTTTTCCAAATATCTTATGAGAGTGAAAAAACTAATTTTATAAAGGGAGACTTGGTCTGCACTTCCTGTCAGTAATATAAAATTTACATTCAGTCCCTATTATTAAAAAATTGATCTGCACTCCCTCCTTTTCAGTATTGATTTAGATTTAATTCCTATTTTTTTTATTTTTTCATTAAATAGTATATTATAAATACGATGTACTCTTAAAATATATTTAAATACTTTTAACATTTTTTTATATACTTATAGCATATTCCGCTCTACCTATACTACGTCTCGCTGTACCTAAATTGTTCTACTATATACCTTTATTTACGTTTTGTGTACTTTTTAAATAATAATAATAATAATAAATAATTATAATTATGTTATATTATGGGATGAAACAAAAAAAACAACTACATACTTCTCATATCCCAAAGAAAATCTTATACCCGTCATTCTCGTTCATGTACCACAATATATTGAAATTTTTCCTCCTTCATGCAATCGATCGCTCTTATTTCCCCTCAAATTTATTCATATTCATTGAGATTTCTAAATTTGCACTAAAATTGTTGTATTATCGGAATCTAATTGTAAAATAAAATGTACATAATATAAAAATTACAATATGACTAATTTATTGAAATACAATCCAAAATTGATACGTAGAATTTAAATAAAATCATGATATGTGTATATATATATATATGTGTGTATGTATATATTCATTCAATCAATAGAATTACAAATTTATATTAAAAAAAATTGCAATAGAAAATTAAATATATAGATTTTAAATACAACAATGATTATATATATCATTTTATCAATATTAGTTTACTTACTCTTTTAATTCTACCTATAAAATGAAAAAATTTGATGTTAATAATTTATATTATTTTTGTATAAAATTCATAATTATATTTAATATAATATTCCCTCTGTCCCAAAATAGATGTCTTATTGGGTGTTGACACGGGAATTAAGAAATAATAGTATTTAATTAAAAGTAGGGTATAAAATAAAATATAAAAGACTAAAAATTCCTTACTTTTTGAAGGATTTTAAAAGTATGGTAGAGTAATAACTATGGGTAATTTGGAAAAGTAGAAATAATTTTGTTATAAAATGGGTACCACGGTTACTAAATAAAGGAAACACTACAAAAAAAACAGTATATTTGTAACGGAATTCCGTTCCTAAAGTTCACGTAGTTAACATAATTCCATCTCTAATTCCGTCCCTAATATCATTAGTAACGGAAAAAGTGAATTTAGGAACGAAAAAATCTCGTTACAAAATTGATAATTTCTTGTAGTGAAATAAGATAATTGTTTTGAGATGGACGAAAATGGAAAAACAAGACAACTCTTTTGGAACGGAGGAAGTATAAAATATTACGTAAATATTATAAAAATATTATATATAATATAAACTTTATCATATGATTCAATATAATATTAGCACAATAAATATCTATCTATCTATATATATAATTATTCTATCAAATATTTAAAATCCTATATATAAGATACAATTTTTTTTTTTAAATATTAATACTAGTAATAAAATTTATTTATAGTATTTTATATATTTTAAATACTTACTATGTATAAATATTAGAGTTCGTTTGTTTTGTGTTTTGATTTGAAAGATTTTTTTTTTTTATGTGAAATATAAAAAAATATATAGATAATATAAATATCATGAGTGTGCGTAAATATATTAATTTTTGTAGAAAAATATGTTGAAATTTTTTCAAAAAACAAACAAATCCTTATTCTATAGAAAATATATATATATTTTTTAATCTTTACTAATATTTTTATTTTTGTATTCTAAAAC